AGCAGTTTTGGTACATACTCTGATGCTAAATTCTTCTGGTATTTGCTATAATATTTAAATCAATCTAGTATATGCTCTGATGCTAAATTCTTCTGGTATTTGCTATAATATTTAAATCAATCTAGTATATGCTCTGATGCTAAATTCTTCTGGTATTTGCTATAATATTTAAATCAATCTAGTATATACTCTGATGCTAAATTCTTCTGGTATTTGCTATAATATTTAAATCAATCTAGTATATGCTCTGATGCTAAATTCTTCTGGTATTTGCTATAATATTTAAATCAATCTAGTATATGCTCTGATGCTAAATTCTTCTGGTATTTGCTATAATATTTAAATCAATCTAGTATATGCTCTGATGCTAAATTCTTCTGGTATTTGCTATAATATTTAAATCAATCTAGTATATGCTCTGATGCTAAATTCTTCTGGTATTTGCTATAATATTTAAATCAATCTAGTATATGCTCTGATGCTAAATTCTTCTGGTATTTGCTATAATATTTAAATCAATCTAGTATATGCTCTGATGCTAAATTCTTCTGGTATTTGCTATATTTAAATCAATCTAGTATATGCTCTGATGCTAAATTCTTCTGCTATTTGCTATAATATTTAAATCAATCTAGTATATGCTCTGATGCTAAATTCTTCTGGTATTTGCTATAATATTTAAATCAATCTAGTATATGCTCTGATGCTAAATTCTTCTGGTATTTGCTATAATATTTAAATCAATCTAGTATATGCTCTGATGCTAAATTCTTCCAGTATTTGCTTTAATGCTTAGAGAATTCTTCTGTATTTGCCATAGGTAATACTTAAAGATCTCTGGTATATACTATGATGATAAATTCTTCTAGAATTTGCATAATAAAGAATTCTGGTATATACTCTAACGCTGAATTTTTCTGATATTTACTCTGCTGACACTTCTTCTTGTGAAGACCCACTGAAAGCTAAAAAAAAAAAAAACCTGTGATATTTGGTGATGTTCTACAGCCCAGGAAAATCTGCTCTTCTTTACGGGTACCATCTGACCATGCCAGGTACCACCTGGCCACCATTCAATGCCACTGATGGTGGTACAAGCGACTCAGGTCACTACTGTCTGTGTGCACACTTTTTTTTTATGGGCGGTGTAGACGGGGGTCCTGAGCAGGATTGACGGGCCCCAGCTAGTGCTGTCGCCACGAACTGTGCAGGTAAGAAGGTTTAATTTTGCCCCACCCCCCGATAGAAAAATGCTATCACCTTACTAGTAATCAAGTCGTGATAGGTAAGTCGGAAAAGTGACTAACCAAAAGTGTCTGTTTTCGGCTTCTCGGGATGAAACGGTTAATGTATAAACTGAAGCACTCGGATGATGTAAGATGAAGTACAAGGATGATTAACTAGAACAGACACAGAGTTTATGAATACAAAACCACATAATACCATGACTGGAGATACAGAAACGATGCTACTATACAGACACAGGGTTTATGAATACAAAACCACATAATACCATGACTGGAGGTTCAGAAACGATGCTACTATACAGACACAGGGTTTATGAATACAAAACCACATAATACCATGACTGGAGGTTCAGAAACGATGCTACTATACAGACACAGGGTTTATGAATACAAAACCACATAATACCATGACTGGAGGTTCAGAAACGATGCTACTATACAGACACAGGGTTTATGAATACAAAACCACATAATACCATGACTGGAGGTTCAGAAACGATGCTACTATACAGACACAGGGTTTATGAATACAAAACCACATAATACCATGACTGGAGGTAAGTACGGAAATGATGCTACTATACAGACACAGGGTTTATGAATACAAAACCACATAATACCATGACTGGAAGTAAGTACGGAAATGATGCTACTATACAGACACAGGGTTTATGAATACAAAACCACATAATACCATGACTGGAAGTAAGTACGGAAATGATGCTACTATACAGACACAGGGTTTATGAATACAAAACACAATACCATGACTGGAAGTAAGTACGGAAATGATGCTACTATATAGACAGGATACTCAGAGAAAATGTGTTTATGTAAACTAGGAAGATCTTCTTTACAGAACATTGATCTCATCACAGCCTTCCTGAAAGAAACTCAATCCCTCGCTAGCTCTCCTGTACATTTCTGCCTCACGCACATTCATGCCTCACGCACATTCCTGCCTCACGCACATTCCTGCCCCACGCACATTCCTGCCTCCCCCACATTCCTGCCCAAGGTGTCTCTTACATTCTGTGCAAATCTTTGTGCTGGCATCAGTGAATGGATGGCCTATGGGCTGGCCAATGATTTACTGGGTTGCCGGTTGGAAAGTGGTTGGCGTTATCGCATAAACATTGCAATGGTCTCTTTCAAGACTACTTGGTAGTGAGCAGCCGAGACTAGTCTGAGGTGGGTATGGGACACCCAGTACAGTAGCAGTGAATGTCTCGGATCTGCACTGACATGATCGATGCTTGACCCAGAGTTCACCGTGATGAACGGACGACAGTTGGAAATCATGACTTAGTGAGCAGTTCAGCTTGGGTAGCCACAAGTCCCACAAAGACGGACTGAACTGTCTGCTTGAAACAAAAGCCACAGGAGAGCTCAGGATCGAGTTTTGTTTCCAGGACATGAGACAGTAGATTAGCGACTTGTGATCGTTTGACAGTAGAATGCCACGAATATGGCACAAATAAACACAGACCACAATATAACCAGAACACCCCCCCTCAGAGAAAGCTAGTTGAACATAGTTGAGTTGTTTTTTTTCATTGACTGCAAGCAAGCGTGCCCTGCCACTCTAACTCTGTACTGTTCCTTCTGCTACTATATTTCCCAGTCTGCCATAAAGTTTGATAAGGTCAGGGTATTTCAATTTCTAAGACAAGATGCTGTTTATGAGCCAATTTTCCTTGATGTTCAGATCTTTTATGACATCAATTTTGATGAGGGATATGAAAAAACATAACTGTTATTTACTGTGCCATTCAGACCACACTCCAAACACTGCCCAAAAGCAAGCTCATAGGCACATAAACATATCACTGAACTGTACCCAAACAAAAATACACTTTAAATGTAGATCAAACAACAATCCGTATGTTAAAGTACATATATACAATGTATTAGAAACTGGAAGGGATCCATACATACATCTTATAAATACGCTAATCAAATGTATATATAAGTGTCTTATATTTATTAGTATATATACATAGTGTATTTCATGTGAAGTTACTTACATGCAAACCTTACCTATGCATGTTAAACATGAGCTGTAAACACATAAACATCTTATAAGTATGTGTCAAGTGTCAAAACATTTATACACATAACTCTTTCCCATGTGTCAATTACATAAATAATGATTACATTGAGAAACAGATGGCCGAATAGTTAGGACACTGGGTTCTTATCAGAGACACTGGGGTTCAAATTTTCAGAACAGTGATAGACGTTTTTCCTGTTAAGGGCAAAATGTAAACATCCCAACCTGCACAGATTGTGGTACCTGCACAGATCGTGGTACCTGCACAGATGATGGTACCTGCACAGATTGTGGTACCTGCACAGATGGTGGTACCTGCACAGATGGTGGTACCTGCACAGATTGTGGTACCTGCACAGATTGTGGTACCTGCACAGATGGTGGTACCGGCACAGATGGTGGTACCGGCACAGATTGTGGTACCTGCACAGATGGTGGTACCTGCACAGATTGTGGTACCGGTGCAGATGGTGGTACCGGTACAGATGGTGGTACCTGTACAGATCGTGGTACCAAGCTAAATCCTTGGGCTACACACTCAGCCTACAAAGCCTTAAAAGTGGCACTACAAGGGAAGCTACCGTGGTATAGTAGCTAAATGCTCGTCTGAAGACCCAGAAGTTATGGGGTCGAATCCGCAGGGAGCCAGATTTTTTCAAACATGGCCTTTGGCTCCCAGGTCGACCCAGCCTTAAAGTCCTAGGAAGTAAAGACCGCCATCCTCGTGTTAATCACATCACCCACTGAAGGCCAAAGACTGATCTATAAAACTTTGAGTCTAGCCTTATTTGCCGGATGTATCAGTGGCATGTCCAGAAACCTTCCTTTACAGGCAAATGAAGACAGAATTACTGCACCATTAGATCAACAAGCTCAGGTCTGACGTTCTCAGCCACACTCACTTCCATATCCACTGCAGTCTAAAAGTGGATGAACAACCACAACTTTCCACCAGAGTTTACAGCTGGTGAACACGAAGACTTCCATATCCTGGGTATATGTGGCTGACTCATGTTTTTGTGACCAACTGCCAATCAACAATGAACATCAGCTCAGCTGTCTTGCCTAGAATCTACTGTCTTGGCTAGATTCCGACAATGGCACAGACAGCAATGGCAAATTACTGAATGGAAAACTGCCCAAATAAACCACAAACAGCCAGCATATGTTGAGGTTGGTTTCAATGTTCTGTAAAGGATACGTGCTCGAATCTTAAATTCTCATAAATATATAAACCCAAATCTTACATTCTCACATATACATGCCCAAATCTTACATTCTCATACATACATGCCCAAATCTTACATTCTCATACATACATGCCCAAATCTTACATTCTCATATATACATGCCCAAATCTTACATTCTCATATATACATGCCCATATCTTACATTCACACATATACATGCTAATTTCTTCAATTCTCACATATACATGCTCAAATCTTACATTCTCACATATAAATGCTAAAATCTTACATTCTCACATATAAATGCTAAAATCTTACATTCTCACGTATGCAAGCTCAAGCCTTACATTTTCAGGTTTAAATACTCAGGATTCTCTCAACAGGCATACAGATCATGTTTAAAACATATGACAACAAATGACAACATATGTGTCTTGTTAAATATCACAAATCAGCTGGCTATGGTTGTGGGCATATGTTAACAGAAATGAACATTTGAGATTTCTTAAATTATGTCAAGTTTCCAGACTCTCTTTCATCGTCATCATCATCTTCCTCATCATCTTCACCATCATCATCTTTGTCCTCAGAAACTGATATGTGGAAAACTTTGGTGTCTTCCTCAATGATGCAAGTTTCTTCGTCGCCATCTTCTTCCATTCCCTCCTCCTCTTCATCATCTAAATTGTGATGCTCCAATTCAAGACCTGGAGAGAATGTAAAATGAGAACTCAATAAGCAAAGTATAATTTAACAAATGGATGCATAAACAAAGTGCATCATAAACAGTAAAACAAGACTAAACGGACACTGCAAGCAATCAGTCATCAGCTTTGTCTTCCACTTCCATGTTTGCCTTTGTGATGCGGGGAGGAACAGTTTGCAGTCTAATGTCTGATGGGTAGCACTGTCTGCTGTCAGTCAGTGTCGATGTACAATGTCTTGATCGCCACTAATCCATCTTCTCCTTGGACACCTCCTACTTTCACAGCTTTTAGATGCAGCACCTTGTTCATAGCTATTATGGTTGCCTTCTAACGAGATGACCAAACAACTGATCTTCTGCTTCTCAATGAATTGTGTGCAAAGTGCTGTTGCAACAGTCTGTCGTCTAACAGTATCACTCCTCCCTCTAACTTGGATGGTTAATCTGGTAGCAGAACAAATACACAACAGGCTGAAGTCACCCATTTACGAAGGTTGGCCACAACTACTCTACAAAACTTTCTTACTTTGTTGGTGTTCTCTACAAGACTTTCTAAATTTGTTGGTGTATTCTACAAGACTTTGTTGGTGTACTCTACAAGACTTTCTTACTTTGTTGGTGTACTCTACAAGACTTTCTTACTTTGTTGGTGTACTCTACAAGACTTTCTGACTTTGTTGGTGTACTCTACAAGACTTTCTAAATTTGTTGGTGTACTCTACAAGACTTTCTAAATTTGTTGGTGTATTCTACAAGACTTTGTTGGTGTATTCTACAAGACTTTCTTACTTTGTTGGTGTACTCTACAAGACTTTCTTACTTTGTTGGTGTACTCTACAAGACTTTCTGACTTTGTTGGTGTACTCTACAAGACTTTGTTGGTGTACTCTACAAGACTTTCTTACTTTGTTGGTGTACTCTACGAGACTTTCTGACTTTGTTGGTGTACTCTACAAGACTTTCTTACTTTGTTGGTGTACTCTACAAGACTTTCTTACTTTGTTGGTGTACTCTACAAGACTTTCTGACTTTGTTGGTGTACTCTACAAGACTTTCTTACTTTGTTGGTGTACTCTACAAGACTTTCTTACTTTGTTGGTGTACTCTACAAGACTTTCTTACTTTGTTGGTGTACTCTACAAGACTTTGTTGGTGTACTCTACAAGACTTTGTTGGTGTACTCTACAAGACTGTTTCTCACATCTCTTGTGGCTTTGTGAAGACTTTACTGTGTTCTCTACGTGTTCATAAAAAAAGGTCAATACCCTCTACAAGCCCATAGTTTCTCTTGTCTTCATCAATAAACATTTTGAGTAAACCAACCAAAGCTAAACATAAAGGAGACCTGTCAGCTTGAAAAGAAACTAACATTTTAAGTGACAGAATGAACACTGAGGCCTTCATCAGCATATAAAATAACTGATAAGTTAGTAGTGTATCCGTAACAGGAAGTTGCAGAGCCAACCCCAGTATTTTTTGGCTGTTGTGATTTTTCTAGGCAAATTATGTGTTCAATAGTTTTACCAGTGCATTCAAATGGTCAGCTCTTGGTACCACTGTCAAAACCAATGCAAGACAAATGCCAGCATCCCAGCACTACCAAGCAATGCCTAAGCCACAGCTGCCGTGGTCTAGCGGCTAGATGCTTGCCTGTGGATCGAAAGGTCGTGGGTTAGGTTCCTGACAAGGAGCCAGAGTTTTTTCAAAAATGACCTTGGCTCCTAGGTCGACCTAGCCTATAGTGGGTACCAGGTGCAGTCCTGGGAAGTAAAGGTGGCCAGCGTGATGCCGACCACATCACCCAACAAGTGCCGTTTCATCTAAAATATATAGTTATAGCCCTATTTACCAAATACACCTGAGACGTGTGAAGAAGGAGCCTTTACTTTACTCAGCTTTTTTATGGCTTGCCTCAAGATTCTCATGTCTAGAAATACAACTACATTTGTTTCAGGGTCCCCGTGTGGGTTTAGAGCTCCATATTTTGAAGAATCGACCAACAACCCCTCGACAAGCATTCCTAAAGGTTTTTCCTAAAGGTTTTTCCTAAAGGTTTTTCCTAAAGGTTTTTCCTAAAGGTTTTTCCTAAAGGTTTTTCCTAAAGGTTTTTCCTAAAGGTTTTTCCTAAAGGTTTTTCCTAAAGGTTTTTCCTAAAGGTTTTTCCTAAAGGTTTTTCCTAAAGGTTTTTCCTAAAGGTTTTTCCTAAAGGTTTTTCCTAAAGGTTTTTCCTAAAGGCATATTAGTCCGCAGTGTTGTCAATGTCTAGTTCATTTATTCATTCCTTCATTCCTTAATTCATTCATTTTTTTCACAGAATAACTCTTACTGACCTTGTGTGCTTGACACAGCGTCCCCTGGGATCTGCCGCTTGGTGTTGTGTGTTCGGATGTGTTTTGTCAGGTGGTCACTTCTCATAAACCTCTTGTTGCACTCCGGACACTGAAACTTTTTCTCCCCTGAAAAAAGAACCACTCTCTCTACATTTCTTCATTAAAAAAAGGATAAAATCACAACAATGCCTGCAAACAGAACAATTCTTTCTGAACACAGAACTATATCACAACAATGTCTGCAAACAGAACAATTCTCTCTGAACACAGAACTATATCACAACAATGCCTGCAAACAGAACAATGCTCTCTGAACACAGAACTATATCACAATGCCTACAAACAGAACAATTCTCTCTGGACACAGAACTATATCACAACAATGCCTACAAACAGAACAATTCTCTCTGGACACAGAACTATATCACAATGCCTACAAACAGAACAATTCTCTCTGGACACAGAACTATATCACAACAATGCCTGCAAACAGAACAATTCTCTCTGAACACAGAACTATATCACAACAATGCCTACAAACAGAACAATTCTCTCTGGACACAGAACTATATCACAATGCCTACAAACAGAACAATTCTCTCTGGACACAGAACTATATCACAATGCCTACAAACAGAACAATTCTCTCTGAACACAGAACTATATCACAATGCCTACAAACAGAACAATTCTCTCTGAACACAGAACTATATCACAACAATGCCTACAAACAGAACAATTCTCTCTGAACACAGAACTATATCACAACAATGCCTACAAACAGAACAATTCTCTCTGAACACAGAACTATATCACAACAATGCCTACAAACAGAACAATTCTCTCTGAACAACACAAAATAATATCACAATAAGCGTCAGAGAACAGACCAAAATTACATTTCTTAAAGGCAACATATAATAATTCTGTCTAAAAACCCAGGCTGACCCAGCCAAAAACTGACATCAGGTAATGCCCTGGGAAGTAAAGGCAGCCAGCATGATGTTGATTACATCATCCATCGAGAGCACTTTAATCTATAACAATAAATCTAGCCTTATATACAGGACGTAAGACTGGAGTAGGAAGGGAAAATTTATTTTTTTACAGTTATCACAACAGCTCTGTCTGAAAACAGAATATCACACCAGTTCTGCCTGAAAATGATTAGGGGGGGGGGGGGGGGGGGGGGGGGGGGGGGTGGGGGGGGGGGGGGGGGGGGGGGGGGGGTGGGGGGGGGGGGGGGGGAGATATCACATCAGTTTCAGCCTGAAAATGATAGGGGGGGGGGGGAGAGAGATATCACATCAGTTCAGCCTGAAAATGATAGGGGGGGGGGGGAGATATCACATCAGTTCAGCCTGAAAATGATGGGGGGGGGGGGGGGGGGAGATATAACATCAGTTATGCCTCAAAATGGGGGGGGGGGGGGGGGGGGGGGATCATATCAGTTCTGTCTGAAAATGATGGGGGGGGGGGGTGTATCACATCAGTTCTGCCTGAAAATGATTGGGGGGGGGGTATCACATCAGTTCTGCCTGAAAATGCCTTAACACACACATACACACACATACACACACATACACACACATAACACACACATAACACACACATAACACACACACACAAAACAAATCTGATAAACATATTTTAGAATGCTACAGCAGACCAGACAAAATAAAATGCATTATCAAACATTTATACTATGGTTCAGAATGTGCAGTGTATACTGAAAATGGTTTAAGTGACTGGTTTTTGTGTGTGGAAACTGGGGTGAAACAAGGCTGCAAACTCTTTTTGTTTGGAGTAGCTGCTGATCAGGTAATGACAAAATGTTGCAAAGGCAATACTGGCATTGACTGAGTAGAGAAAAGACAAATGGAAGATCTGGGTTTTATTATCTGCAATGATATTATGTGGCAAGGTAATGATAAAATGTTGCAAAGGCAATACTGGCATTGACTGAGTAGAGAAAAGACAAATGGAAGATCTGGGTTTTATTATCTGCAATGATATTATGTGGCAAGGTAATGATAAAATGTTGCAAAGGCAATACTACTGGCATTGACTGAGTAGAGAAAAGACAAATGGAAGATCTGGGTTTTATTATCAGCAATGATATTATGTGGCAAGGTAATGATAAAATGTTGCAAAGGCAATACTGGCATTGACTGAGTAGAGAAAAGACAAATGGAAGATCTGGGTTTTATTATCAGCAATGATATTATGTGGCAAGGTAATGATAAAATGTTGCAAAGGCAATACTGGCATTGACTGAGTAGAGAAAATCAAATGGAAGATCTGGGTTTTATTATCTGCAATGATATTATGTGGCAAGGTAATGATAAAATGTTGCAAAGGCAATACTGGCATTGACTGAGTAGAGAAAAGACAAATGGAAGATCTGGGTTTTATTATCAGCAATGATATTATGTGGCAAGGTAATGATAAAATGTTGCAAAGGCAATACTGGCATTGACTGAGTAGAGAAAATCAAATGGAAGATCTGGGTTTTATTATCTGCAATGATATTATGTGGCAAGGTAATGATAAAATGTTGCAAAGGCAATACTGGCATTGACTGAGTAGAGAAAATCAAATGGAAGATCTGGGTTTTATTATCTGCAATGATATTATGTGGCAAGGTAATGATAAAATGTTGCAAAGGCAATACTGGCATTGACTGAGTAGAGAAAATCAAATGGAAGATCTGGGTTTTATTATCTGCAATGATATTATGTGGCAAGGTAATGATAAAATGTTGCAAAGGCAATACTGGCATTGACTGAGTAGAGAAAATCAAATGGAAGATCTGGGTTTTATTATCTGCAATGATATTATGTGGCAAGGTAATGATAAAATGTTGCAAAGGCAATACTGGCATTGACTGAGTAGAGAAAAGACAAATGGAAGATCTGGGTTTTACAGATGTTGTTCTGTTAGGTAAAAAAAATAATGAAAATATGCAAAGAAAAACAGATGATTTGCTCTCTACAGCATCAATAATAGGATTACAAATAAGTTATGTGAAAAAATATGTTAAAGACACCAACAATAGATCATGTAGATATCACACTAGAGACCAAAGCAATAATAACAACCGACCATTCCACCTATCTGGGTAACAATTTTGAATCTCAAGCATATACATATTATGATAAGCATTGGCAAAAGCAACAACGGTTTAAAAGCCTGAACAAAATATAGAGCTTCAAGTTATACAACTCTGAAAGCAAACTACAAATCTTCAACAATTATAATGTTATTTCAGTTGTAACATATGCCAGCTACACCTGGAGAACCACCAAAGATATGGAATGAAAGCAAAATGCATTTGAAAATAAATGTCTCAGAAAAATCATGAACATAAAATGGGATGAGTACAAAAAGAGTGAAGAGATCAGAGAAATGACTGGACAAAACCCTGCATCAACTGCAGTAAGACAAAGAAGGTGGAGAGATATTAGGCACACTCTGAGACGAAATGAGCAAAGAATTACAAAACAAGCACTGAAATGGGAAACAAAACAGTCTGAGAAAAAGAGGACGTCCAAGGGAAACAAGAAGAACATTATTACAAGAGGCTAGAGCGGAGTGGAGGAATCCAATGTGAGCCCTATGTGACATCTAATAGCACACTATGGATGATGATGATGACAGGTGTAACTAATTAAGGGCTTGCTGTAACTGGATATGTTGGGCTGAAAAGGGCAGATATCACAGCCCAGCTGTAAAGCACAACACAAAATGCCAACCACTCTTTTAAGGGTAAATGTATAAGATGATGAACACATATTTTGGTACCCACTGAGACTCCACCCAATGTTCCCAGGGATGAGAAGTAGATGAAATGGATGAACACATATTCTGGTACCCAGAAAGACTCCAAACTGTTCCCAGGAATAAGAAGCAGATCAAGAAATGGATGAACACATATTCTAGTACCCAGTGAGACTCACCCAATATTCCCAGGGATAAGAAGTAGATGAAAGAAATGGATGAACACATATTCTAGTACCCAGTGAGACTCCACCCAATGTTCCCAGGGATAAGAAGAAGAAAGAAATGGATGAACACATATTCTAGTACCCAGTGAGACTCCACCCAATGTTCCCAGGGATAAGAAGAAGAAAGAAATGGATGAACACATATTCTAGTACCCACTGAGACTCCACCCAATGTTCCCAGGGATAAGAAGAAGAAAGAAATGGATGAACACATATTCTAGTACCCACTGAGACTCCAACAAATGTTTTCAGGGATAAAAAGTAGATTAGAAAAATGGATGAACAAATACAATGAGAGAAATGGATGAACAAATAAATACAATCACAACAACTAACACTTGCCTGTGTGTGTTCGCTTGTGTCTCTGCAGCTCATCTGACCTTGTGAAACGTTTCCCACAGAACAACCAGTTACAGACAAATGGCCGGTCTCCAGAGTGCCACCTGCAGAAAACAAATGTCAGTGTTATAACAGAATTCAAGATGTAAAATCTATAAGCGAGCACTAAAAAGAATTATTCTTCTCAATGTTTAACAGCTGAAAACTCCAGCAGAAAGTTCTCATTGTAAGCCCACGTCTGGACTTTAGTCTTGTTCCAGAATTTAACTGTTGCATGCACATCAGTTTTACAGATCTAGCTTACTTGTAATCAGACATTTGTGTTTCTCAGGCAGATGCACTCTCAGTTCAAAGAAACAACCCTAATAGTCACCTTGGGGAAAAGTGTTTCCAGAAACGTGGCAAGCATGTAGGTGGCATATACATTCATCATCATCATCATCATCAGCAATTTCCACTTCTGCTATTAAGCGTTGTGGGAAGGAACAGTTTGCGATCCATTGCTTGATGGGCAGCAATGGCTATTCTCATTCTGTGTTGACATATAAGCTCTTTAATGTCATCAATCCATGTTCTCCTGGAGCTTTCACTTCAGATCTTTTCATGTGTAGCGCCTGCTTGGTAGTTGTTTTGGCAGCATCCTTACTAGATGACCAACCATCTGATGTTCTGTTTCTCAATGAATTTGCTGTATGGTGTTGTTCCTACAGTCTGTTTGATAATTTCTAGCTTTGTCTTGGATGGTTAAGTTGGTGGCTTTTCGTAGACATCTTATTTTACTGGTGTAAATTTCAGGTAGGTTAACCTTTGACAAAGTCCTGGAACTGGTAGCACAGTGTTGGTATGAATATGCTGTTTATAATCTGTTTCTTGGTGCTCATACTCTGTTTGGATATCTTAACACTGAACAATTCAATTTAATTCAACAACGAAAGTTAAATTACCCCACACTGAAAGTCAAAATGTTCTGTGGATGACTCATCTGGTGTGCTACACACATGAAACAAACAACAAGAATAAATCATGTGTACCTTAAATGTGCTCGCAGATGCGAAGTCTTCCCATAAACTTTCCCACATCCCTGGATATGACAGATATGCTGCTTCTTCTTATTCTCACCAGTATGTCTAAAGAATACAACATTAAAAAACATTGACACAATATTCGTCAATACTATTCTGCAACCCCAAATTCAAATATTTTTTTTTCGTCAAATAAACATCATTCAAACAAGACAAAATGTTCCTTGCAAATGTAAAATCTGATTTTGGTGTCCAGGAGACAAAACTTCATTGAAGCTTTGATAATTTTTTAACAAATTTAAAACCCAGGCCTTAAGTCGGCAAGATTACTTACTGTAAGTGTAAACTTTTCTTCAAAGCTTCTCTGTCACATCGACTGGTGCTGTTGGTGGCTGATGATTTCAAATGGAGGATCTCGGCAAACAATGTGCCCTAACTCCACGTCAGGGCCACATTCATGAACCAGGCTACAGTCAAACAACATGGAGGATCTCGGCACACAACAGGCACAAACTCCACGGCAAGGCGAAATTCATTAACCAGGCTAGTCAAACAACATGGAGGATCTCGGCACACAACAGGCACAAATTCCACGTCAGCGCCACATTCCTAAACCAGCCTACAGCCATACAACTCTTCAACATGCAGATTTACACTGAGCTCGTGAGTTTGCTATGAAGGAGATCGGAGCGGCTAAGGAACATTCACAAGTGCAGTGTGGATTACCTGAATTAAACTCCGACCTAAACTAAATATGTTCCCTTTCTCTATAATCAATTGGTGTTCCCTAAGTCCTCGTCATACAGTGCCCTCATATCTAGTTACGCTTCAGTGATCAAGTCAAGCCTCTTTTAGACAGATACAAAATGGGTAACAGAAAATCTTTTGAGAAATAAAGGTAGCCATACATTTGTTCTCACTTCAAGGCCGAGCTTTTGTGTGTGCGTATGTTCTACTTCTTGCACAAAGTATAGCTGTGTTGTGTAAACATGTTTTCCTTCTTTTACAAAGTACAACTTTGTTGTGCAAATAGTTTTTCCTTTTCGCACAAAGTACAGCTTTGATGTCTAAAAATATTTTCCATATTGCATAAAATAAAGATTTGTTGTGTAAATATGTTTTCCTCCTTGCACAAAGTACAATTTTGTTGTCTAAAAATATGTTTTACTTTTTTTGCATAAAGTACAACTTTTTGTGTAAATATGTTTTTCTCCTGCAAACAGCTACGTTGGCCATGCTGATTGTTAAATGCTAAAGTAATATATGGCATCTTCCTTTTAATGTTATGACTGTTTCAGGATGGTTCAAGCAATTCTCCAGCTTCAGATTGTTGGTATACATTTGATACTGCATTGCGGTATTTTCATTTCTTTAGGAAGAGACAATAATTTTATGTGTTCACTTAAAACACCTTTAAAAAATGTGAAATAACCTAGTAAGGTGTGCATTAACGACCAGCCATTCTCAGTACATTGAGGGGTTAATCTGTCGAGACAATGTCTTAAGCCATTACTGGACATACCAGGGTTAATCTGTCTAGACAATGTCTAAAGCCATTACTGGACATTGCAAGGTTAATCTGTCTAGACAATGTCTAAAGCCATTACTGGACATTGCAAGGTTAATCTGTCTAGACAATGTCTAAAGCCATTACTGGACATTGAAGGGTTAATCTGTCTAGACAATGTCTAAAGCCATTACTGGACATACCAGGGTTAATCTGTCTAGACAATGTCTAAAGCCATTACTGGACATTGAAGGGTTAATCTGTCTAGACAATGTCTAAAGCCATTACTGGTCATTGAAGGGTTAATCTGTCTAGACAATGTCTAAAGCCATTACTGGTCATTGAAGGGTTAATCTGTCTAGACAATCTCTAAAGCCATTACTGGTCATTGCAAGGTTAATCTGTCTAGACAATCTCTAAAGCCATTACTGGTCATTAAAGGGTTAATCTGTCTAGACAATCTCTAAAGACATTACTGGTCATTGAAGGGTTAATCTGTCTAGACAATGTCTAAAGCCATTACTGGTCTTTGAAGGGTTAATCTGTCTAGACAATGTCTAAAGCCATTACTGGACATTGCCCAGAAGACGATGCACATTCTTTAGGCATGCAACGTAAAGAGAAAATTGTAGAACAATACAACAGGAGGGAAGAGAGACAAGAATACCCTTAGAGAGAAGATATAAGTTTGGCGCCACATCGTATATGTATCACCAGAAATTATCCCTGTATGGGTTCCAGGACCCAGTTAAGGGGGAAAGGAACAGACCCACTACTCCCCTAACAAGCATATCGTAAAAGTCAACTTATCAGGGGTGTTTACTTCAAAGTCGAAGTGTATCTGAGGCAAAGCACCAACAATCTGCACACAAATAAACCATATCTGTATAATGAATGTACAAGCATAACTCAAGTTCTGTAACAGAACAAGTCGACAGTTGGATGAATAATAAGACCTTTTCACTGAAGATTACAGGTGGAGAAAACTGTGATTGAAGGTGCAGTTTCCAGAAAATGAGGCAAATGTGGATACAGGACACTGAAGATGCATCAGCTAAGAAAGCAAATAGGGCTGGAGAATTGGCTACAAAAAGAGAAACTTTCAGGCTTAGCCGTGAAGAAAGCAACTTTCTGTAAAAGACATGTTGACTGATTGACTCACTTTTCAGTGGAAGTGCAGTTTGGGCAAGTGCAGGCCACTCTGCGCACTCTCCTGCCTGTGGGGGTTGAATCTGAGCCTCCTGAACCAGTGGATAACGTGGATGTTACAGACATGGGTGTGGATACGTTGACAGACTGTGTGGCTGGTACAGTGTTGCTGACAATCTGCCATTTGGTCGGGTCATTTGGGTCTTGCTGGATGTGGGCTGCAGCTGCGTGAACATAACATTTCAATTTACAATTCTGTTTCAATTAAACTGGGTGGATGGATGGACAGACATATGGAAAGATAAACAGCTGCATAGAAACCCCTGTGTGGGTTCCGGGGCCTCATTGTGGGGAAAACAAGAATAGACCCACTGCCTCCCCAAAAGCATGTTGTAAGAGTCGACTAATTGGGAAGCTTCCTTTGAAGTCGGAGTGCATCTGCCGGAGAGGCAAGGAACCAACAGTCTGTTTTCAAGAGAATAAGATCTGTAAAACTGATGCACACGCAACACTCAGGTTCTGGAGCAGGGCTGCAGTTCAGTAGTGGACGAGCAACCAGAACTTTCCGCCAGAGTGTACAGCTGGTGAACGCGAAGAAGAAGAAGAAGAAGCTGCATAGAAGAATATACAACTAAAGGATGAGAGAGCTATGATGGAAGAGAGGGTGCATATAAGGAAAGATGTATGCTTAGACAGATGTGTGTAGAGGAAAACGAATGATTGAAGGATAAATACATGGATTAATAAAAGATGGAAGGATAGATGCATAGGAGGATGAATGAATGCAGAAAGACAAACAGATGCAGGAAAGGATGGACTGATGACTAAGACTCATAAATGATGGCTCACTACAAATAAACTGAGCAAGAAGACTTTAGAGGAAACACAAAATGATAAAATGAAAGCTAATGGCACATAGAAGAGCAAAACCCCAGGTTTGAAAACATTATGCTGCTAACTGGATGTGCCTCCAAGACTTCACAGATATGTATTAGAAACAAGAAACTGGTACACAATATCCACAACAATCCAATAACAGATGATAAATTCACGAACTGAGTGGTTACCGACATGATGCCCATCTCAAGCTGGTTTCAACTGCTGCTTACATTCTGAGGTGCAAGATAATCAGCAGGCTGACAGGATGGTTGCTGCTCCTCTAGGTGATGAGCTACTTTATGATACAGTGGACATGGTGAAGGCTTTCTGAGATCAAGTGAACAGTGCAACAGAACATTCATACCCTAAGAGACTGTTTCAGCATTTTCCAATGTGAAGGGGAAAAGACACAAATTATCCAATGAATCCAATGAACTGTGACTTAAAAAGCTTCATGAAAGGGGTCAGAGGAACAAGGTGCACAAAACAGACACAGAGACATTTTGACTGAAGATTTTTTCAACTTGAACTACACAACAATAACAAAGGGCAAAGTACTCCAACCACCACTGCCCACCAGGGGAAAAGACAGGCGGGCATTTGATTAGACTGCTTCCTGTGTGGGTTCTGGGGCCCTGTTGTGGGGAAACAAGAACAGACCCACTGCCTCCCCAACAAGCGGTTGAGGTTCATCTGCCTGAGAGGAACCAACAGTCTGCAGCCGCAAAAGCAAGATCTGTAAAAAAAATATGTACATGCAATGTGGAGCAAAACTAAAGGCAACAAATGGACGAACAAATAGAACTTTCTGTTGGAGTTTTCAGCCGGTAAACACAAAAAAGAATTAGGTTGCAAGTGACGTGAACAATACAGGAACTCTTTGTGGCTACTGAGGGAGGAAGAGTGCACAAATGGAAACAGCCTGAGTGCATGCAGTGATGTAGATTCTGGATGCATTCAATCATTTCATTCCTGCTCGGTACAATAAGGTCAAGACATGCTTAGGAGAACTCAAAGATGCTAAACTTCTTACTAATCTCTGTGTAAGGGGATCAGATTTAAAGTATATTCAGACAAAGGCAGAATTGAAGGAAGGTCTGAGGGAAACAGTCTATACTAAATCCTCAGTACCTGAGATAAGATAAAAACAAAATTCCCACAGCTGCCAACCAATATAGCAAAAATGATAAAACCTATCCACAGCAGAACAGTTACTGAACTGGACATGTCTAGTACACACTGAGGTTCTCATCAGATGCACATGTCTAGTACACACTGAGGTTCTCATCAGATGCACATGTCTAGTACACACTGAGATTCTCATCAGATGCACATGTCTAGTACACACTGAGATTCTCATCAGATGCACATGTCTAGTACACTGAGATTCTCATCAGATGCACATGTCTAGTACACACTGAGATTCTCATCAGATGCACATGTCTAGTACACACTGAGGTTCTCATCAGATGCACATGTCTAGTACACACTGAGATTCTCATCAGATGCACATGTCTAGTACACTGAGATTCTCATCAGATGCACATGTCTAGTACACTGAGATTCTCATCAGATGGTCATGTCTAGTACACTGAGATTCTCATCAGATGCACATGTCTAGTACACACTGAGATTCTCATCAGATGCACATGTCTAGTACACACTGAGATTCTCATCAACTGGACATGTCTAGTACACACTGAGATTCTCATTAACTGGACATGTCTAGTACACTGAGATTCTCATCAACTGGACATGTCTAGTACACTGAGATTCTCATCAACTGGACATGTCTAGTACACACTGAGATTCTCATTAACTGGACATGTCTAGTACACTGAGATTCTCATCAACTGGACATGTCTAGTACACTGAGATTCTCATCAACTGGACATGTCTAGTACACACTGAGATTCTCATCAGATGCACATGTCTAGTACACACTGAGATTCTCATCAACTGGACATGTCTAGTACACTGAGATTCTCATCAACTGGACATGTCTAGTACACACTGAGATTCTCATCAACTGGACATGTCTAGTACACTGAGATTCTCATCAACTGGACATGTCTAGTACACACTGAGATTCTCATTAACTGGACATGTCTAGTACACTGAGATTCTCATCAACTGGACATGTCTAGTACACTGAGATTCTCATCAGATAAAATATTTTCATGCCCTGAGCTGAAAAACTCACAAGATAAAATCAGAGAAAAACTGCATTATTCTCGAGTTAACTCTAGAAAGTCGAGAAGATAGATTTCACTGCACCAGATGTTATCATATAAAGCTCTGTCTTTCACTGAAGGATGATAAGCCTTCTGCAGAAAGTGCTGCACAAAGCATGAACTCAGGAGCTCATGTGAAGAACCCCAGGGATCTCCGAAAGGACTGCTTTCATGAACCAAACATGTCCGTGAAATAAGCCTACAACCTTCAAAGTGTGAAACAAACAATAATTGTTAAGGTTTTACACAGGAAATACTGTCTTAGAGCACACCTTCATGGAACAGGTATAGAACAATCTAACACATGTGAGAGGAAATACTGTCTTAGAGCACACCTTCATGGAACAGGTATAGAACAATCTAACACATGTGAGAGGAAATACTGTCTTAGAGCACATCTACATGAAACAGGCATAGAACAATCTAACACATGTGAGAGGAAATACTGTCTTAGAGCACATCTACATGAAACAGGTATAGAACAATCTAACACATGTGAGAGGAAATACTGTCTTAGAGCACATCTACATGAAACAGGTATAGAACAATCTAACACATGTGAGAGGAAATACTGTCTTAGAGCACATCTACATGAAACAGGTATAGAACAATCTAACACATGTGAGAGGAATTACTGTCTTAGAGCACACCTACATGAAACAGGCATAGAACAATCTAACACATGTGAGAGGAAATAAAGTCTTAGAGCACATCTACATGAAACAGGTATAGAACAATCTAACACATGTGAGAGGAAATACTGTCTTAGAGCACATCTACATGAAACAGGTATAGAACAATCTAACACATGTGAGAGGAAATACTGTCTTAGAGCACATCTACATGAAACAGGCATAGAACAATCTAACACATGTGAGACACTCTTGATTATGTACTGTAGGACTGCCCTAACTACTCACAGCACAGGAAATGGATTAGACCCAACTGAGCAACATAGCAAGACAAGTTATGGGGACCAGCAGTAAACTGAGACCCCATTCTGTCTGTAGCCCCAGTGTTTAACATGGCTGATACTGAACGCAGACAAAGCAGACTAAAACTGCTGCCGCTTCCAAAGCCTTACCTATAACACTTTGCTGACCTCCCATGGTGGCAGTGGCAGCATGCATGGCTCCCTGGGCAGTGTTGAGAGGGATGGCACTGACTGTTCCCCCTGGTGTTCCGATGGCAATAGTTCCCAAGTTTGGAACAGACCCTCCATTGATTATCTGCCCCTGCTGTGTCAAAGCCTACAAAAATAATATTTTAATTTGCTCCTTCTTTTATGTAAAATTGATAAAGATATCAAACATCAGCTGCATCCAACACTATGTCAAGGACATTCTCATTAAAAGGAGTGCATTTTTTCAATATGGAGTTAATAATAAGATACACATGTTTATATGTTAGCAGACTGGTCTTTTTTTTTTTTTTTTACACTTTAGAGAAATCCTCATCTACCTGGGATACAAAGTCACTAGACAGTCTGCCCTTCCTCTCCTGCCATGTATATAGAAGAAGTTCTATTCTGCCGTGAGATATAGAGTCTGTCCTCTTAAACCATCAGATAAAAGGCTGTCCTCTTCCGCCCTGGAACACAGAGGTATTTTTATTTTTTTTTATTTTCGGTCCCAAAATTTAGTCAACTGCTGGCCTCTGACGCTCTGAACATGTATTTGTTTCTAGCCAGGGTTTGCTGATGCAAATTGCCTATTTCTGAACCCTGTATCCACAAGTTTTACATCCAGACAAAGTGCTTGGTGTGACACTGTGAACTGTAGATTTCATGTGGACTGTTGTGCCTGTACTAGACGACAAGTGCTGATTGTGTTTAGAATGACGTGTACTTACTGTGATAGCCTTCGTAACTGACTGCTTGAATTAACTAGGAGCACATTTCTGGTGGGGGATTATTTGTGTTAGCACATCTGACAGCTAACTTATGCATTTACTTCACAAGTGCAAGCTTCACAATTATTCCGAGACTGACATGTTTTTCACCCCAAAAATGTGCAATGGAACCCACATAGGAAATCTGCTCAAATAAGGACCATGATACTGCACTGTACTTTCACAACAACAGGCTTGTGTGCCATCTCCCTACAAATGCTGTTTCCTTCAAACAAAACTAAAACAACCCAAAAACGTCATCAAGTTCCTTGCTAAGTGGCATGAATAATTATATTTCTACTTTTATGTTCATCTATTCATCCTCAAAAGAAAGGTTTTCATATTGTGCTGTGCTTTACAGCAAGGCTGTGATATTTGCATCTTTCTGCTTAACAAATCTGATTTCAGCAAATCTCTAATTAGTCACCTATGACAACTTTTTTGTTTGGGAGGAGTGGGGAGGGAAGAGTGTGATTGGTCTATTCTTTTTTTCCTCGAAAAATGGTGCACCAGAAATCACAGAGGAAGATGTTTCTCCAAGCCTTGCATTCTCCAATTTTATATATCCCACTGTGTACTGTGAGCTTCCCATAATAACAAAGCAGCTGGTCCCCCCCCCCCCACCCCCCCCCCCCCCCCCCCCCCCCCCCCCCCCCCCCCCCCCCCCCCCCCTCCCCCCCCCCCCCCCCCCCCCCCCCCCCCCCCCCCCCACGCCAATTGTACTGACCCATCATAAATTATGCTTTTCACAAAACACATGCACAATCTATTATGTGACACTGCACAATTTATTATGTGACACTGCACAATTTATTAAGTGACACAGCACAATCTATTATGTGACACAGCACAATCCATTATGTGGCACTGCACAATTTATTATGTGACACCCCACAATCTATTATATGGCACTGCACAATCTATTATGTGACACCCCACAATCTAATATGTGACACCCCACAATCTATTATGTGGCACTGCACAATCTATTATGTGACACCCCACAATCTATTATGTGACACCCCACAATATATTATGTGGCACTGAACAATCTATTATGTGGCACTGCACAATCTATTTTTTGACACTGCGCAATCTATTATGTGACACACCACAATCTATTATGTGGCACTTGCACAATCTATTATGTGACACACCACAATCTATTATGTGGCACTGCACAATCTATTATGTGACGCTGCACAATCTATTATGTGACACACCACAATCTATTATGTGGCACTTGCACAATCTATTATGTGACACACCACAATCTATTATGTGGCGCTGCACAATCTATTATGTGACACTGCACAATCTATTATGTGGCAGTTGGTAGCTGGGAGAATTATCACAGCTGGACAAACAACAACAAAAAGGGCATCAACTCACACACATTGCACCATCCCGCAAGTCTAATTCACATACTTGGATGCCCTGAAGACCCTGCAAGGCAGGAAATGTCTGCAGATTCTGAAGAGCCTGAATATTCTGTAGCTGGACAGCCTGCACACCTGAGGGCCGAGGGCTCTGAATGTTCAGGGCATGCTGCATGGTAAACATGCTCAGTTAGTGATATTCCAACATCAGCTTCAGCTGTTTTGTTACAATAACTTACAATATACTCAAGCAGTGAATGTAGAAGGTAATGCATCAAAGTGGGCTGTTCTATTATAATAACTTACCACATACCCAAGCAGTGAATGTAGACGGTAATACATCAAAGTGGGTTGTTCTATTACAATAACTTACCGCATACCCAAGCAGTGAATGTAGACAGTAATACATCAAAGTGGGTTGTTCTATTACAATAACTTACCACATACCCAAGCAGTGAATGTAGATGGTAATACATTAAAGTGGGCTATTTTGTTACAATAAACTTACCACATACCCATGCAGTGAATGTAGACGGTAATACATCCAAGTGGGCTGTTCTATTTCAATAACTTACCACATACCCGAGCAGTGAATGTAGACGGTAATACATGAAACTGGGTTGTGTTCTATTACAATAACTTACCACATACCCGAGCAGTGAATGTAGACGGTAATACATCAAACTGAGTTGTTCTATTACAATAACTTACCACATACCCAAACAGTGAATGTAGATGGTAATACATCAAAGTGGGCTGTTCTATTACAATAACTTGCAATATACCCAAGCAGTGAATGTAGACGGTAATACATCAAACTGAGTTGTTCTATTACAATAGCTTGCAATATACTCAAGCAGTGAATGTAGACGGTAATACATCAAAGTGGGCTGTTCTATTACAATAACTTGCAATATACTCAAGCAGTGAATGTAGACGGTAATACAATACATGGTATTAAAGGTTGTCTCCAACTATGCATACCTACATGGTTCATGAACATTGGGTAGAATGCATCTTTAATCAGCTAAGACTGAAGGGTAGAAGATCAGGGAAGCACTTGGTGCAGCCATTACAGGTGTCCTAAACATATAATTAACTGCACATCCTTTACACGATGCTGCAGAAACCCCAACATTTTTTCACTGGTTGGTTTTACTAAGCAATTTTTATGCTGAGTAGTTTGTCACCCCCTTCTCAACTGTCGCTGCTGCACACCGTTGTTCAAATCAATGCAAAGTGAGTTATCTGAGATTTGCCTCTGAGTTGCAACACTTCAGGCAGCAGAGGGGGGAGGATTTGGGGGAGGGAAGAAGGACGGGGTGTGAGACAGACTAAAGTTTGGGCACTCTTGGACATCACCATCAAATACTTCAGCACTTGGCTCCTGCTCTAAAACTTCTTGATCATTCTATTGCACAGTTCTCTGTCTTGTGCTGCTCTTTTGAATGTCATCTATTGTATGTCATCTATTGAATGTCATCTATTGTATGTCTGCACTAACAGACCTGTAAATGTAATAGACCTGTGAATGTCAGTTTTGTAAAGGTTTTTTTCTTTACTCTTTTCTTTCCCCAATTTTTTTGCCTGTGTGTCCAGTTGCCTTCTTTGCCAGTTTAGGCTTCTCAAACTACAAACAATTTCAGCCACAACTGGCAATTGTATCTGAATCAGTGCAGTAAATGTCTGATATAAAACCAGACTGCATTTGCAGAAAACAGAAGAATACAAATATTTTATTTTGGGGTATGACAAAATCTGCATTTTAGAAGTTGAAATTCTCTTCTTGAAAAAGCCATGTTGATTACCTACTGGTGTATGGTACTGTCTCTTGGAATGTGCATGAATATAAAAAGATTGGCGGCAACAAAGAGGTTTCTGAGACAAATGTTGAAGATATTTAAGACAGTCAGAGTAAATTAGTACCTGGAACAATGCTTATGACAGTAGAACTCTGTAAGGTAGCTAAAAGAAGACCAAAAATATTTAGTCATGTTGTGAGAAAAGAGGTTCTGGAGAATATTATGACTGGAAAAATCAGCAGTACGAGAGGCAAATTTGGTTAAAGGAAATTATGGTTGCTCTCTGACACTAAGGGCTTCTTCTATGGCACCTTTACATGGGCCCTATCAAAGCAACTACATTATGCTTAGTATGTATCTATTTTTTTTCACAGTTTTAGCTCCTCATCTCTCTGTGTCATATGTGGTGTCCCATCTGTCATGTTCTGTTTTTTTTTTTTTTAGGATAAAGACAGAGGCTATATGTGGGTGCAGACAAATAAACCAAGATAGAAAATGACAGCACATAACAAGAAGAAAAAGCAAACCACGAATAACTGAAGAGATGCCAAAAACAGGCCACGAATACAGCAAAAGGTAGACCTAGTCTTTATCAGGACTCCCAGGCAACCTCCACCCCCCAGCAGTGCAGAAACCTCAACTGCAGGGAACCAACTGAAGCAGGTGGCACGCAAAGGCAAGAATACTCAGGCATGACCACATCCCACAAAGAAGAAATTGAAAAAAAATTTTAAACTGCAAAGACTAACTACAAGTGAAGCTTACACTGAGGCAGGTTGAATGTGGTCCAAGTTTTAATTTTTTTTTTCCTTGAAAGAATTAATCAAAGAAATTATGCCGGATGGTCTAAGATAGCATTAAGAAATGTTATAAACAGAACTGATTTGAAAACTAACAACTGAAGTCTGGGGTGAGACAGGAACATCTATGTCATCTGGCAGTTATCGTGTTACACTGAATGCTTATATCTAATTTATTTCCACACACACACAAAAACCACAATTGTTCCCACAATGCAGTTCCTATCTAACAACAAGAATGATAAAAATATAAATGTGGATTTACCTGAAGCCAGTTGATGTGTCCCTGGTTGGCGGTCAGCTGGATCCCTCCCAGATTTTGAAGTAGCTGTTGCTGGGCCAGCACGTTATGAAAGACTGCAGCGTTCTGGTTGTTGGTGGAGGAGGCTGTGGACACCACAGGGGCCCCACTGGCTGTGATGGCTTGCGGGTAGGAGGGCACAGTCAGGGTAGGGAAAGACTGAGACACATGGTTTTGGTTGGGAGGGGTGAGTATCACTTGCTGCCCTTGGGGTGTGTTCACTACGTTCAATGTTTGAACTCCATTATTATTACCTGCCAAAGTCAAACTGGCAAGCTTTGGTGAATGTGCTTGGTTTCCACCATTCAACTGGCCACTGGTCATTTTCACCTCCGATTTCATGCTTTGTAGAAGGTTTTGCTGGTCATCTGACTGGCCACCTTGTGTATGTGTGTTCTGGACTTGTGACGCCATGAATGTCTGTAATGTCTGGGGGTTGGTAGCAAACGTAACTATGCCGCCTCCCCCAACATGCTGAATTGGTGTTTGCATTGGAATGTTCTGGGAAGGTAACTGGATTGTCTGTAGCACTGTCTGACCATTTATAGAGACGGGCACCTGAATCAGGTTGGGGACTTGCTGAACTGTTTGAAAGCCGGGAATCTGAACAGCTTGCATGAGATTGCCTCCTTGTCTGACAGTATTCTGCATCCCACCAAGACTGATTATATTTCCTCCTATGTTGACGAAATTGCCCAACCCTCCAAAGCCTGCAACATTCTGAAACAGGTTTGTTGTGGCCGTTCCTGCCGCAGGGTTGCCCTGCGCCCTAATGATCTGGCCTGTTGGTGTAATGAAGGTCTGCTGGGCAGCTTGAACTGAAGCTGCTGACACCTGGGCCTGTCCGCCCATGCCTGAGGACGGGATAATAAATGCTTCTTGTCCATCGATGTTCACCGTCTGGTAGGAGGGCATGACACTGTAGGTCAGCTGCCCGTTCGGACCCTGTGTGGCCACAATCTGCTGACCTTGAGCAAAGAGATGACCGGTGACATTATTCGCCAAGGCTGTTGCCTGCTGGATGACGTTCCCTGCACTGACAGTCTTGCCTGTAGTAGAGTCCACAATGGTACCATTGGGTAACTGCACCCAACCTGTGATTGCATCTGCTGTAGTACTCCCACCAATTCCACCTTGCCCCGCCCCGACTACCCTGGCACCAGCATCTCCTCCTTGTCCATACCCTTGTTCTTCACTTTGGGCGGGCGATCCAATTTTGCTACAAGTCGCCGCCAGCATAGCAAGGGGTGAGGGTTGAGCGTCCTGCAAGGCGGAGCCAGAAAGGGGTGTAGTTAGAAATGGCGGACATAAGACAGAATGCTAACAAACTAACCGAGTCGACAACACGTACTAGCTATAAATTATCGTAAAACATCTTACCTGTGTTGAACTAGTAGCCGCTACGTAATCAGAACTTCCTCTGTTACCATTAGTTGTTGCCATTATGTTATTACAAACGATAAAGTAACATACTGATGGCCGTGGTTCACTCGCCCACACGAGACATCGGACAAAGAGTTGTTTTGACCTGGGAAATGAAACCCAACCTACGCGCACTCCAACCCCACAACACACTTTGCAACAAACTTTAAAATACCAATTTTAAACATGTTTAAACATTTCAAATTGTATAGTCGTTTATTACATAAAGATTTAGTAACAATAAATTAAAATTAAAGAGGATATTTTGTATTTTCCATGGGACTATTTTCTAAGCGTATTAAGATAACCTGAATCTTCGAGAGAATGGCCGGCCTAGTTGCCGTGTGATTGACAGCTGCAACTCCCAGCCGCCACCTTCAAAGACTAGCATTACGTGTCCCTCCCTAGTCCACACCAAAATAACTTGACCCGGGACGGTCGATATTCTCAGCCGCGCCCATCCGGTAAAAAAAGATAAGTTGAGGGGCGACTTACTGTTCGTCCCACCATGTTCACCTTTCATCAGACTAAGAGGAAACTGTTCTTGATTTGACGTAGCAATTCAGTTTGGAAATTTACCGCAGAAGTATAGGGGTTAAAAAAAAAACGAAAACTCAACAAGCGAAATTCGACTTATCCCTTTTTAAAAAAAAAAATTGTTTAATGATTTCTGGAATATTTAACATTAGGGGTTCTTCAACATAGTAGAAGCAATGCTAGAAATGTGTACATATAAAACAATTGTAGCTGTTGACAGAGATGATATATCTGCAACAACTCTGAGGTAATAAACGTCATCAGGTGTGTTTGTTTCTTGGGGTTAACAGATTTACATCGTCACCGTTTCTATTTTAGGATCTCTTATCGGCCACAGGCAGCGTGGGCTGGGTTACTGTGACATTGTAGGGAGGTTCCTGTCAAAGGAGGGGGAAGTGAACCTTTCTATCTCCCGCAGACTGTTGTTGTTGCCATGCGTGGATCCGTTGAATAAAGATAAACATGTAACAGAAAACAAATAAGAATATATATATATATATATATATATATATATATATATATATATAAGTGTAGTGTGTGCATATGTGTATCTGTATAATGTATGTATGCAGGTGTGTATTTATGTGTTTATGTATGTATATAAACACACACACATATATACGGCTAGGTCAAAACATGTCAGCCCATGTGTGTTTTATGGCGTAAAATTTATGGTTATGAAAACAAACAAAACGGTGTATAGTAAAACAAGAACTCTGAAAATATCCCACAAGAATCAGTCCTACTCAATGCTAATATCCTTGACGCCTGGCTTCATCTCAATAGTCCCAGCTTGTCCACAATAGGCTATTCACCGTCGACCCTTTCATGCTCTAAAAAGCTATTGTATGCATGCAGCCCGTTGTCAGCTGAGAGATGCAATTTTTTTTTTTTTTAAAGATAAGAGAGAAAGAAAGAAAGCAGAAGGTTAAAAAGCAAAGAACAAAAAATAATAAGTGAATGACCTTCAACCCCACCAGGACTGCACAACGAACGATAAACACCCGGTGACACAAAGTACCACGACTCGAATGAGAATCACCTGAGCTCAAGTCCTATAAACCACGTTCAACCGTTAGGTTATATTAGGTCCCTGGTGATAGTCGGGTGGGGCTTTGAAATTACAACAACAACAAATAGCGTCCCTACTTGGACGGAGTGACAATTCTCAAAGGAATTTAATAAGAAATTAATGTGTACAAATTGTTGAAGATCAATCGGTGATATGATCAACATTACACTAAGGGACTTCATTTTTCAGGAAGTTTTCCGCTACACATTTTAGAAGGAGTTAACTTATAATTATACTGTAAATTGTGCCGTTTAAAAAAGACGTATTTTCATTTTGTTTGTTTGTTTGTTTGTTTGTTTTAGTATCCAGAAGCCATGAGTTTGTTAACCCTTAGGCTCGGTATTATGGACAACCTTTCGGCATTGTATCCATAATAAATACCGTAAATCTGGGAGAAATGTGGCTTGTCTGCCCAACCCCGGGAGTGGACCCGGACCACATGGAGTTCGTCACCCAGTCACCGCGCAATCCGATTTAGCCAACTAAGCTAGAGAGCCGGGCTTTTCATTGTAAACGTTATCTCAGCTCACACATATTGCGTGTGAAAGTTGCAGTTAGGAATTTAGAGCTACGCCTATATTTTATAGACAAGTCGGCATTTGGTGGGAGATGTGGTCAGCATCACACAGGCCGCCTTTACTTCGCAGGATTGCCCTTGATACCCATTCAAGGCTGGGTCGACCTGGAAACCAAGGTCATTTATGAGAAAAGTCCCCGAACCAATGACCTCTCGATCCACAGGCGAGCGTCTAACCGCTGCACCACGACTAAAGACAAGGGAGGACAATATAATTGCACTTTAAAACAAAGTTTTAGTTTATTCGACGGATCAACAACATGGCACAAGGATAGTAACCCATAACTGCTTCATTCTACTTCTAACTCAAGCCTAAGTCTGAACAATCTCAGCTCAGTGCACGAACTCCATTGCACCGGCGAGGATCCTGAAATAATTTTGGGTAGATTTTAAATTCCAAATTTTGTCCAGGCAGCGCCGTTTGACTACTCTTTTCGAACTCCAACTGTCAGGGATGTTTACGGGCTCAACAATACACACGGGTGTCCGGTCTTACTACCTAGAGACTTGGAGAAATTATACTGGAAGTTCAGGTGAAAAAATCCAAAAAAGGTCCCATAAGAAATGAAGATCTTCAGAGTCTAAGCCAAGTCTTCTCCACGACAGCATTGTGAAGGACACGCTGTTATGTGTAAGAGCATGTATAGCCTCGTGTGTCCACTATAGGAACTTGAGACTTGTTTAGTATAAGGTAGAACAAAACACACCAGACAACTATGCTGTGTCAGGCGTTAGTAGGCCTGTATGTAAACCGCCTTGCGTTTGCTGCGACAGTGGCATAGAGAGAGGACCGTCAATAAGTAATGGCAAACTACTGAACATAAACTTGACAATGCAATTTAATTCTTTGAGTGCAAGGGGTTCACTGTGTGTGTGTGTGTGTGCGTGTGTGTGTGTGTGTGTGCGCGCGCGCGCGTGCATCATCATATCTTGATTTAACACCTGCTGAGTACAGGGAAATATGTCAGGCAATTGATTGTGCAATATTTTGTTTGTGTCCACGCTATTCAGACTTACAAAGGGAAAACATTGTTGTAAACATAAAATTGCTGTGTGAAGTCACATACAGTACAGCTGGGCTGGTTCGGGCTGGTCCTGCAACGTCCTGTAAAGCATGCGCAACCAACTCAAATGTTGATTTATTGATGGATTGATTGGCACTTTTTCGTCTATCCGTAGCGCAATAAAGAACTATCGTCTAGTTCTTTATTGCGCTATGAGAAGGAAGGACACTCAAAGCCCATGGCGATAGCGAGTGTGACTAGCAAGGGCCCCCCCCCCACCCCTCCCCCACCCCTCCCCCCCCCCCACGTTATGAAAAGTAATTATGGCCAGGGATGAAATTCCACCTCTCCATAGCTGAAATCCTGGGAAGTATTGTAAAGACCATTTGTTGTTCATGCATCATGATCCCTCCATTGACCTACCTTGTTTACTTCAAAGGAAAATTAACACCAGTACGTTTGGAACAAATAGACTGCAGAAGCTGTCGAATCAGAAGAGCATTGCTCTATCCTTCCGCCTGTCGGAGCTTCCCTCCTAAACTAGCTCCAGCAAAGGCTAAGGGCCTGGCCTGCCCTGTCATTCATAACATAAAAGTTCTCGAATGTCATTACCGCTTCCTAGGATACAGCCAGCATCCCCCCCCCCCCATCCCCGCCAAATGTGTCTCTTCTCCCCCCCCCCCCCCCCCCACCCCGAAGCCGTTGGCACAATATGGGATGTTTTGGTTTAGTATACACCGCCCACCATTCGGCGTTAACACAAGACAGGTGGTACCAGCTACTGTTAGACTGTAGCTCAGTCATATCTGACCAAGTCCTGACTATGTGTCTAAAATGTCAGGCAAAGATTTTTCAATTCACCGATTGATGAGTAAAATTATATTGAAGCATAAAAACAACTGTTGATACCATAAGCTATTATCACTTCGGATGCGTAAAATAACAATGCACGAAAAGATTTTTTTGTAATTGATCATATAGTTTATTTGACACAAGACTGACACAATAACATATTTTATCAAATCTGTATTGTATGTATACTTTATCAGATAATTAAATGGATACGTGAGTTCTACTCATTATTTTTACAAATAGTCATCTATAATTTTATACCACGACTATATTTAAAGTTATGACCACTGGAAAGATCTGTGGAAGGAGAGATAGCGGAAGACAACGAGAGAAGATGCTTGACAGTCTTGTTGCATGGCATGGAGGTGTGTCGGCACACGAACTGATACATGCTGCAGGAGATCGCAGATTATGGAGAGGCATGATCGCCCACGCCAGTCGGCAAGGCACCTGATGATGATGATGATGATGATATAAAGTGGTGGGGCACCCACATATAATACGAATATGTGGATACATGTCAACTACATCCCAGTTTATGATGATAGTGGCCTGTGAGACGTTGAACAGGGGCATTGTTTAAGCAAATCGTAAAACCACCGATGTGTATCAGAGCAGGAATCTGCACTGAGAGCAAGATGCTCTATAGTCGTAATCTCATTCTGTGAATATTTGGTGTCTGGACTGGCTGGTCAGAAATCGATTGTCTGTTGTGGGAACCGATGCTGGCAGATGCAAGAACGGCACTTCAGGCACTAAAATCTGGAAAATTAGATATTATATGGACACTACCCTCCAAACTAGGCAGCCAGTGTAAGGTAACTATGCAATGGATACCATTCCACTGTGGAGCTCGCGGAAAGGAAACAGCGGATAAACTAGCTAAGGAATGGGCAAATGAAGAACAACCTGACGTAGCAGTCTCTTATCAACAGAAAAGGAGAATAATTAAATCAATCAGAAAACCACCAATACCGGC